GAGAGCTAAACAGAAAGAAGGGAATCAGACCTGTGGCCCAACACGTGTGCAGCCACAGCGAGGCTTTCCCTGAAGTGCAAGAAAAGGACTCAGTTCCAGGGCTTTCTCTCAACGCTCTAATAACAACTGCTGCGGAGGTGACAGCGTGTGGAGGGAATGGCTCCCCCATCTGACTGCATAGAGCTTATTTCCCAGACACCAGCTGCTTCCACTAGGAGAAGAGGAGGAGGGTTTTCCCCTTAGGGGCATGGGCCATAAGAGTCGGGCAAAGAAGTGTTGATTTGTAGCCCAGCCAGTGTGGCTCAGTAGTTGAGTGTTAACCTATGAACCAACAGGAAACGGTTCAATTCCCAGTCAGAGGACATGCCTGGGTTGCAGGCTCAATTCCTAGTAGAGGGTATGCAGGAGGCAGCTGATCAGTGGTTCTTTCTCATCATTGATGTTTTTGTCTCTCTCTCCCTTTCTATCTGAAATCAATAAAATATATATTTTTCAAAATCTTGGTTTGATGTCTACTGTGTTCAGACACCGTTCTACATGTAGCTTAGTGTATAAAGCAGATATTGTCCCTACCAATTCTCAGCGAGGACCTGTCAGGAAAGCCATACATACACCCAGACTTCTTTTCCTTTACCTCTCACTGATAATGCATTAAGAAGCCTACTGAGCCAACCTTCTAGATCTCTCTATCATCCTCTCCTCCACCACCATCCAACTATCTGTCATCTTCATCTGGACTTCAAATGGCCTTTTACAGCCTCCCTGCCTCCAATCTTGCCCCTCCCTCCTACCATCTCCTTGATGTACATGTACCGTCTCCTGTCAGAGGGAAATTTCTGAAATGCAAATTTGACCACATCACTCCTCTGCTCAGAATTCTTTCGTGGAGTATATAATGAAAAACTTGGAGTTTCTTATAACAAAAAAATGCCTTTCTACCTCTCAATCCAGCAATTCTGCTTCTAGGTATTTCTCCCAAGAGAAGTAAAAACATATAGTCACAAAGAGACTTGTACAGTAATATCCACAGCAGCTTCATTTGTAATAACAACAACAAGGAAAAAAACACACAAAACACCTAAATATCTATTAACAGGAGAAAAATTATCAAATTATGGTGCATTCATATTTTAAAGTACTGCTCAGCATTTTTTAATGGACTATTAAAAACACAACACTATAGATTAGACTTATCAGGTTTATTAAATAACAATACAATTCCAAGTATTTCATGGGCATACTTTTACTAAAAATTATTTGTTGTTTTTCTAAAATTCTAATTTAGCATCCTATATTTTATCTGACAAACTTAACATGGCTTAACCTCAAAAACTGGTTTGGCTCAGTGGATAGAGTGTCAGCCTGTGGACTCAAGGGTCCCAGGTTCGATTCTGGTCAAGGGCATGTACCTTGGTTGTGGGCACATCCCCAGTAGGGAATGTACAGGAGGCAGCCGATCGATGTTTCTCTCTCATCGATGTTTCTAACTCTTTATCCTTTTCCCTTCCTCTCTGTAAAAAATCAATAAAATATATTTTTTAAAAATTATGTTAATCAAATGAAGTCAGACACAAAAGACTAGATCCTAAATGTTTCCATTTATATGAAGTTCATGAGAAGATAAAATTAAGTTTTGGTGATATAAATAAACAGTGATTTACCCCAGAGAGTGTGGATTGAGTGCAGGGAAGCCTAAGAAAAATTTCTGGGGTAATAGAAATGTTGGTGGGATGGTAATTACAGAAGTATATATATTTACCAAAACTCATCAACGGCACACTTAATTTTATCTCAATTAAAAAAACCAAAACTTATCTTCCATGGATTCTCAATACGAAAACTAGTGAGTATAGCATACAAAATCCTTCCTTTTCTTGCCATTACTCATCCAGTATCTTCCCTTTATCCTGAATGAGTCCTACTGGCCAACTGAGGTGGAACTCTCAGTATTTCAGCCTCAGCGTTGGCTCTCTCCTGTACGCTGAAGACTGGCTGAGATTGAGACCAACTTTCTGCTCTAGTCCACTATAGCTTGCAATCCACCTTCATTCATTTATAGCACTGTCCTCATTGCATCATTGTCACCCTCTGTACCACACTAGACTGTAAATTCCTGGAGAGCAGGGGTCTTTCATGGAGCATCATGCAAGGCACCTAGTAACTATCCATAAATGAAGGAACCAGTCACTCATTCCAACCTCTCTCCTTAATTCTCTACCTAGAAGCTTAATACTTTCATTTAAAATTTTTTTCAAATACAATATTAAACACATTCACACATGTATAAAAGATATTCAAATGGCCAGAAGAAAATAAATGAAGGGCAAGTATCCTTCATTCCCCAGTTGCACAGTGGCCCTAACCAGAAGCAACCACATATTTAATTCTGGATCATTCCAGAAATGTTCTATGGATAAGCAAGCATATTTTATGGGTGTTATAGTATATGTGTACTAGTATTTATATGTCCCTCCTGCTTATTTAAGTGAATTGCCACTCACATACCCTATTCATTTTATGTCCGATTCTTTGCCCCCAAGAGGTGGTCCCTGCTTACCTCATTATCCAGATTCCCCTGCTGGCTGGTTTCCAATTAGTTTGTCCATTGAGAGACAATGGAAGGGTGTTCGAGAGTCGGACGTAATAGAAGTTTGGGTATCTCCTCTTTCTCTGCTTTGGCCCCATATTTCTGGTGGTAGCTGCATTTCCCACACCTCTAGTTCCTGCATGCAGCCCCTACTCCAGGCGCCATCTTCTTCAGCCCTTCAGCTCCAGGGATGTACCTTCGACTAGTTTTTCTGGAAACAGACTCAGATGGAGAGGAGCAAGCAGATGGCTTATTGAGGTATGCCTTGGGAGATACACCTGTAAGGAAAGGAGAAAAGCAGAATTGGCCAGGGGAAGCTAATATGAAATACAGTTCAGTGAGGCCTAGCTGATGCTACAGGGTGCTCTGGAGCTGGGATGGCCCTTCAGAGTTGCCCTAAATTGAGACAAGGGGGCTGGGCTCTTTTATCCCTGCATCAGCTAGTCACTGGCCATAGCCACCCCCAGGAATGAGTGTAGCCTGAATGAAGCCGTTGTAGCTGAGCGCAACCCAGGGAACAGTCTGCTATGAGCCAACAACAGTTGATATTTCCAGCCACTGGGAATGGGTGCATCAGCCCTGGAAAGGAGACCTAAGTAAAGAACCACAGTTTCCAATATAGGGTGGTAGAGGCTTCCCATTGGTGCAAGTGTCCAGGTGCCTCTGCCCACACCTCTGCCCAGAGTCCTTTCATTAAAGTCTCAACATTTGAACTATCTGGGGCAAATTCCATTTCCTGATGGGATCTTGACTGCTACACCTACAATACCCACATGCTACACACACACACACACCCTACACTTTCATTTAATATCTCTTAAGTAAGAGGGAGGGGAGAATGGGAGATATCTGTAATACTATCAACAACAAAATATATTAAAAACTATGTCTTGAAACACAGTCCATATCAATACACTCAGTCTATCCTTGTCTTCAATGGCTGTGCAGTAATTCCTTATATCAATATAGTATAGTGCAGTTAGCAAGTCTGCTTCTTAGACATGGAAGTTGTTTCCAGCTCTTCTCTTACAATCATTGCTGCGGTGATCACCGTGTGCACTTTTTAACGTATCTACAAGACTAGTGTAAATTCTTAGTAGTGAAGTGGCTGGATCAAATGCTATGCATATTTTAATTCTGATATTGCTGAATTGTCTATGAATAGTTTATTCCAATGTTTGTCATCCTGAGCATATGAGAGTGACTGTATCAAAACTTCTTCACCAAACCCGTGTTCACGCCCGTAAAGGAAGCCTGTTTGGTTTGAGGGCTCCAAGGGGCATGCAGTCCTCTTATCCTTCTCTTCCACCCCCACATGCCTCTTTGCATACATACTTATAGTTGGACAGCAGAAGATCACTAAGACTATGTGTGGTTGCACCAGCCATTTTTTCAGCAGTATTTTTGCTTTTCCTTCATTTAGATCTTATGATACTTGGCTGTCAGGGCTCCAATTCAGGCATAGGAAGAATTTCTATCTGGGCTTTCTCCCCTCTGAGTTTGGGATGTCCTTAGCAATTCCATTAAGCATCTAGAGCTAGAAAACTGGAAGTTAACCTGTCATATGTAAATGCACCTTATTGTGTATCAGTAATCAGACTAGTGCCCCACATTCTGAAAACTCTCAGACACTCAGTATGTGTTTGCTGCTTGAGGATTCTTGTGATCTCACCTTGATGCCTTTTTATAGGCATTATAACATCGTAAAGGAGGAATAATCAGCTTTCAGAAAAAATTCAGCTTGATCAATCTCACCACCTCATTTCCAAATTTCCCCTTTAATGTCCTCCCATACAAACATAACATATGGATGTATTTCGTTTGTTTTGACTAGGAACATTATTATGTGAATTGCACTCTCTAAAATTAGTTCTGGAACATTCTTGGAAATGGAAGCTAAGTTATATAATGTCAGGAACACAAAATGAAGAGCCACCTGCTATTTCATCTAATATGTTATTTCATCTCATGCTTTAATCTCTTGGATTTAAAAGGAGCTCCACTTGATTTTAATAGAAGTAGATGTCATCCCATACAACCCGATAGGCTTGTCACCTCCCATCAGACTTTGAGATACAACCTGTGAAAAACAGACTATCTGAAAGGTCCCAAGAGGTGAGAGCAGAGCTCGGGCCAGAGCTGATGACTTCCAGACACGAAGGCAGAGCAGGGCATTCTCAGGTTATTGAAGCACCTCGCTATTGGCAAGGGCTAAATGCTGCCCTTTTCCTTCCTATTATCAGGAAGACATGACTCAGGGGGGCAGATCTTGGTTGCTGCTCACTTGAGCAAAGTGCAATAGGGCTGAGTTAGCACGTAGAATCTGACTGAAGTCCCAAGTGCTCATCCCAGCTCTGTGCCCTACAGCAATTCCTCAGCCACTGGAGTCCTCAGTTCTCTCCTCTGTACAATGGTGAGACCATCATCTGTGTTGCCTATGTCACATGCTTGTTATGAGGATCAAATGAGATCTTAGTTAAGAAAGCTCTTTTATAAAAGCAGTCAGTGCTGTAGAATCAAAGGGGGTTATGACTTCCCGCCTCATCCAGAGCACCTGCCACCCAACAGGCCCAACCAGAATGGCTTGTCTTAGTTTACTTAATGCAGTAGAGGTAACTTTCATAGAAACGAAGGGCAGGGGTCACCCATTAGTCAGACAAACATTTCAAGTTGTTTTTCCTGAACTGTGGGCGAATTTGTAACAATCTGTGCATCCTCCCTCAGGACATCCCAACACGTGCTTATCATGGATGATCAAAGTCAGGAATTTGTTTTTGGTCATGAGGCAATACAACACTAATTGTCCCTGTATTTAAACCTCTTATGGGGACAGAAACAATAATCTGGGGCCAAATAATCCCAGGCTCAGGTCAGTTCAACAGTTAACAATATTTTCATCATATATATGATGAAAGTCTTGTGGGGACCTTTAGAGTTTAGGAGAAAGAAAATTCACTGAAAATTCATTTAAGCCTAAGCAACCAGCCGACCAGTCAGTAGCTATGACATGCAATGACCACCAGGGGAAGACGCTCAATGCAGGAGCTACCGAGCTGTGGTGACTTGGCAGTTACAGCTCTTGGGTGATGCACCCGGAACCAGAGAGTAGGGAGCTCGATTCAAGGGTGCATCACCCGAGAACTTCCCTCTCGCAATCCGGGACTTCTCGGGGGATGTCGGAGAGTAGGTTTCAGCGTGATCCCCGCAGGCCAGGCTGAGGGACCCCACCAGTGCATGAATCTGTGCACCGGGCCTCTAGTATAAGAATAAAATGCCTTTGAAGTTGTCTATATTCATGGTCTCCCTTGTGTACTGACTGCTCCTCCAAACTATTTGTCAAGGTCAACAAATGATCTCCACACTGCTAACGCCAACTGATCATTTTACCTGGTTGTGGTTAAACTCCTTATTTTAAGAGGCAGCTTATTAACTGGCATCCTTCAGACAATTGACTGTAAAGCAAAATGCCCCAAAATTCTGTTCATGAAAGAGAAACTGTTTAGCACTGCTAATGTATACTGTGTATTTTACCTGTTCAATATAATAGTCTTTCTAAGAAAAAATGAGATATTCTTTCCGTAAAATTAGAGCTCTCCTTTTCCTGGAATGTCCTGAGTTAAGATAATCCTACAGTGATTGCTAGAAGTTGAGGCTCTCTGAGGCTATGGGACTTCCCAGCCAGCATTACAGGATGGATATACCATTCAGTTATGACCTCCCAGGGCTGGAACTCCTGGTTCTTCGAAATTGTTTCTCATGGGGCCTTCAAAAGTTGGTGGCTGAACCTTATCTTCTGATGACATGGTCACTCTAGAGAAAATTAGATCACCGGCTGGCTCCTAGGTGGAGAGAGAGGGAGAGAAAACGAGAGAGAGAAAGAGGAGTGAGGAAGTATTAAACTCAGGGAAGAGGTTGCCTAGCAAACTCTCTTAGTTCAAACTTTCCCCAGCTCAGCCACAGGCACTTTGAATATCAAGAAATACCTTTTAACTCACAAAAGGAAGATTGTATTCTAATCAATATAATTTCATTATTGTGTTTTTAAAAAGCTAATTCTTATGAAATAGGTAAGTTATAAATAATTATTTCTATAAATATCACATCTCTATACACTAAAAGCTTGGCTTTAGTAGCAACCCTCCCAGCTAAGCCCCATATCCCAGACATGTTAGAAATCAAACCTTTCTCATTTTGTTTTTGGAAATGACATAGATGTTGTTCATAGCATGAAAATTACATTTTGAACCATATAACAAGGATCATAATCCCCATCTCATGGGGCTATTAGTAGGGATAAATAAGATAATGTGCTTGGATTTAAAAATTCCATTAATGACTGATGAGATCATCATTAAGAATTTAAAAAAAAATTTGAGAGTACACTTATTAAAGCTGGGGACAGTGAAACAAGGAAGGGCTTCTATCTAGGACAGAAGCAACAGAAGAGAGCCTTGTGGGGGCTGCTGTCAGCTCACTGGAAAGTCAGAGAAAAGAGGGCTTTGGAGATAGATTAGGGGGTTAGCCCAAGACAAGTTGCCGCTGCCCATTGCTCCCTTGGTTGCAAGTCTTGTGGGGACCTTTAGCGTTTAGGAGAAAGAAAATTCATTGGAAAAGGAGATTTGAATAGTCATGCCCCAACAAGGGCCTGCCAATAATCTTGAAAAGGATTCTGTCCCTTTTTCCTCAAAAGGAGTCTGTAGGACTGACATATTAGCTTTTAAGAAGACAATGGTCAAAATAACTTAGCAAACTGACTTTTGCAGATACTCATATCCAACCATCAAATTCTGGAAACCGAAGTAGTTAGCAGGTAATTTCTGTGCTTACATTCAAGGGAGGTGTCACTGTACATAATTTTGAAGTGGGGGGGGGCTGACTAAGAAGAGAAAAAGCAACCAAACTGATATAAAACAAACAAAAAATATTTTATTGTTCATTAAAATTCATTCCCTAGACAATGGATAATGCACGCATTGGATGACATTAGTAGACATAGAAAAGAGGCATTTGAACAATTATCAACATTGACGAATGTGGGGACGCCATAAACATTAAGCTTTATCAGGTTATTGGACTTCCTGAATACAACATTGGCAAAAAGGAACTTACAACACAAAAACATTTAGTTTAATTTTTTTTAAAATGTCACTCATTTTATCTACCAACCTCGACAGTAACTAAAAAATGAGGTACAGAAATTCCAGAAATCTGAGTATGGAGCAGAAGTCCAAGGCACTTTGGAGCCCCATTATTTCCTTATTGAGTAGGATTAACTCAGTTATGAAACTCCTCATACCCCAGGTTTACTGCATAGAAAAGCACTATTTACCCACCTCAATGAGGTGTTGTGGGGATTCATGCTTATCAAGTGCTTCAGGTGCCTTAGAAGAAAGGCAACATAGACGTATGAAATAAGCTTACATATGTATTTCAAAAGAAATGAAAAAAACAAAAACAATTTTGGCACAATGGGAAGAGTGCCTCCTATTTAAAGAATCGCACTTCGCTGTTTATAAAAACTCATCACCTCAATGGTTTCTTGTTTGTTTGTTTGTTTGTTTGTTTTAGTTGAGAGAATAAATGTTTCTGTGTTGTCAGTTTTACAACAGTCATTCTCAACCCCGGCTGCGTTATCAGAATCACATTAAAAATATAGGTCCGTGGCCCACAGCCTACACCTACAGAATTAAAGTCTCTCAGAGTGGTATTTTTTTTAAAGGACCTATAGAAGAATTGGATGCATACAAAAGTTTTAAAAACATTTATTTAGAAAAATGTCAATGCATTAAACATTTATTTTATTCCAGAACATTTTTCTTAAGAATGAATGAAGTTGAATCAGGGTATCAACTTCTTATTGCCTTTTCCCCTTCCCATGTCCCACATACTTAGAACATTACACACACACACACACACACACACACACACACACTTTTTAGCTCTGCCCTTGAATTAAAATGTGATAGTGGTAAAATCTGATAATAGCAAATAAACCGAGAAGATATGCAAGGACTTGCAATTCGTCCCCACTGTGCCCGAAGCAAATGGATGTTTCCCATTTGCCAGAACGGAATGGTTTAAATATGCATTTCCAATTTGGAAATAGGTAAAATCAGCACTTCCTGGGAAACATCAGCTGCATGGATGCTGACAGACAAAAGTAAGAGAGGTTATAGCGGCCAACCATGAAGAAAGGCTATAGTGACTACTCCTCCGTTTGGAGATCGCCTGCATCTCAGCAAACACCTTATGCTCGATGCGTGCTTCATCAAGGTAAATAGAACAGAATGATTAGAACCGGTGACTGTAATTTAAAATCTCTTTTTAAAAAATCAGTTTGCTCCACTGCAATTCTTAATCCTTAGTAACTACTTTCATTTCTTGACTGCCTCAAAGTCTTCTATTCACTAGCTCATCTAATGTAGAGGAGAGTCCATCGCGGCAAGCAAACATATCTCATCATGCCGCCTGCAGGTCTAAAACAGAAGAGCCCCCTCTGGGTGCCTTGCAATGGAACGAATGGAGTCTGCAGAGAAAGCATTTCTCTACACACAGAATGTCCTCTGAGGCTGGCCAAAATTTTTACAATGTCAAGAACTCGTGAATCATAGCAACACAGAATAGTCCCGCTTCTTGGGAAAAGAGAAATGAGGGGAAAACATACAGGAGATAGAGGGTGCATAGAGAATAGGATATGTTTAAAAAAATCAGTCAGCATCAGCCACCGGGTAATTTTTCTCTGAAAAAAACAGTCTCATACTGCCTTCCAATATTGCTCTAAACATTAGAGGCAACTTTGTACACAAAGGCTGCTGGAGCTGGCTTGGGGAGTTGCTTTTTGCGTGTTTCCCAGGGGGACAAGGATGCCAGCAGCAGAATAAAACCTCCCAGCAGGACGCAGAAGCCACTGAAAAAAAATGCAATGTCATAGGTCTGGGTCCAGTCATAAAACCAACCTGGGGAGAGAGGAAGAAAAAAGTGAGTTTGATATAAATAGTATGAACATGAAACCCATACTCTAACTTCATCAATTTTATACAGTTAGTATTAGAATATATATTCCATCTACTCTCAAAGTAGATGGCCTGCTGGGAATTGGAAAAGGCAAATTTCTCAAAATTTGGACAAGAATAAACAGGCATTTTGGTTTCCTCCCAAATAAAGAATAAACACAAATCCCTGAGCAAGAACATTGGCTTTGCAACTATAGCAAAGTGATTTTTTTTGTGGTTAATCCTCATCTGAAGATATTTTTCCATTGATTTTTAGAGCGAGTGGAAAGGAGAGATATCGGTCTGAGAGAAACACATCAATTGGTTGCCTCCCACAAGCACTGTACCAGGGACTGAGCCTGCAATGGAGGTACATGCCCTTGATGGGAATCGAACCCGGGACCCTCAATTCCACAGGCTGATGCTCTATCCACTGAGCCAAACCAGCTAGGGCAGCAGAGTGATTTTGAATAAATCATTATCATGACACTTCCCATGCAGATTTATTTTGGGCAAATCTGTGCTATTATTACAATCCGAAATTCTACATCCTGGGAAGTCACAAAGGAGAACAGTAAAATGGGTGACTTTAAGGTAAATATCTTACCAACAATTGGTGGTCCAAGGCTATTTCCAAGTCCAGCAAAGAACATTAATATCCCATAGGCGTGGGCTAATTTTTCAATCCCCACGGTCTTTGTGGTCACATACGGGAAGATGGACCAATTACCAGTAAGAAACCCTAGGATCCCAGAAAGTATGGCCAACATGACATAACTTTTGGCAAATGGAATTGCACACAAGGCCAGGCCCATGAGTATTAAGGTAGCTATGTAAAGATATAAGGTATTAATCCACTTGAAGTCAGCCAGTATCCCTAACAGGAGTTTGCCAACTGCTGTCATAATGCCAATAATGGAAATAAGAGGCACGATAAACTCTTCTTCTTTCACATTTGAACTTCTTGCTACGTCTTCCATAAGCAATGAAGGCGGAAAGCCTCCGACGTCGAAAAGAAAGATAGCGATGAAGAGTGCCGAGAACACTTTGTTTTTGAAAAGAGCCACAGTTTCTCCACAGTAGTTTTTATATAACTGCCACTTCCGCTTGGCAAGCTGTTTGCAAAAATATGTCTGTTCTGCCACCTTCTTTCTGTAGGTTTCCGTCTCCTTTGCGTGTGCCGTGGCTGCTGGGTTCTGGCGAAGGAGGCTGTCCTGCTTGCAGTCACCATTGGCCAGCGTGCTCCTGCAGGTCTCCTCGCCTCCGTAGCTCTTTTCAAGGATGTTTATGCTTTCTTCTAGGTTCTTTTCTTTTTCGTTGTAAATGGAGTATCTGTCTGGTACATTTTCCAGAGCTGTTTTCTCAGGCAAAGGGCAGTCGGAGGACCGGAGGGGTCTCATCAGACTGCCGCAGGGTAATATATTTAAAGCTAAAGCCCCCACAATCAGCAGGCACCCGTCCAGTCCATAGAGCTCAATCAGCAGCTTCTGCAGAGCGGCATATATAAAAAGTCCAACACTTGAACCTGCAAAGGAAACGGAACTGTTCAATCTTAATCTCTCATCACGTGGGGCTCTCCGGACAGGTATTACCGGTACCGCAGTGCCATTTCTTTTTTTCCACTGGCATTCGGGCGTGCCATCATATGAAAAATCAGAGCAACAATATGAAAGGTGATGATAGCAACAATAACAGTAATACTGATAGAGTATTTATTTTAAGGAATAGCATTTGTAGTTCAGACAGCGTTCAGCACTTCACATTGCATGATCTTGTTTAATCCTGATAGTGATCATATTGTGTAGGTCCTATTATTATTCCCAACCTGTACCTGAGGTGACTGAAGGCTAGAAAGGTTGAGAAATTTGCCGCAGGCCACTGAGCTGTAAATGGCATAAGTAGGAGGCACACTCCATCATTCTGACTCCTGGAGCCCATATTCGTAACAAATACCTTAAGCAACGATTTTTTTGTACTTATTATGTGCCAGGCTCTGTGCTATATATTTATTCCCTTTTAACAAGTAAATATGCATATTTTATTTTTTGAGCTGAAGAATGTATTTTAATTTTTATGGGATATTTGTCATGGTGTGATAGTTCAAATCCATTGCTAAATCACCAGAGTGTAATGATTCACATTACTAAACTATGAAAAGAGTAAAGTGGAATTTGATAAGGTATTGAAATCACAAAGTATGCCTTGTAAATTTTCCTGGATTTTCTGGGTGTGTTTTTTTAAAGCATAGATCACACTAAACATACTGGAACCGCATGTTACATCAGCCGAATTAATTAGCAGTGTTCTGATTTCAACTTTTAAAAAAATTGAATATTTTAAAATTTAAATATCATTGAAAAATGTCACCTAAAAAAGCAGGAGAGTAATAAATAGAACTGTTTAAAAATAGGTAAATAGGTGGATCATACTTTTAAAATGATCTATACCAAATTACTTCGTAACCCCAACAGGATGCCATGCTTGCAGCAAAAATCCATCTTATCAAAAATTCTTACAAATAACCAAATGACTCCCAGACTTATAAAGAAGCATTTTCTCTGGACCATAGTTGTCCCTCTCTAACATTTTAGAAGTTAACTTTTTAATGCCCTCCCTAAAAATTCTCTGTTAGTAGCTCATATTGATGTAATGGCAGCTACAATAATATCATTTTGTGGTTAGTAAGATAGTATCTTCTTTGCTGACTATTGAAAGATAATAAGTAGACAAATTTAATCCTTCCCTTATCTTTTTAAAAGTGACACATACTCCCAAAGTTAAAAGCACTTCAGAAAACAAACCAAAAGAATAGAAAATAGCACTATTTCATGTACTTCTGTACTGCAGTAACCTCCATTCACTGTTAATTCACATGTTTGCCTAATACCATATCTCTGTATAGATCCTAACAGAGTGCCCTAACATTAGATACCTACAAATACTCTTGGAGTTCTGCAAGTTCTGTGATTTGACCTTAAATTGAAAAAATAAGCAACTTCTCCATTGCTCATCAACTAAGTTTAGCCCTCAACATCATGAAATATAAGAAAGACATTTAAATTAATTCAACCAAAATATATAGAATACATATGAGGTGCTAAGTATATGATAGGACAGCACAATCAAATTACACACTAGACAGTAGTTTCCTCAGCCTACATCTCACAAGAATGCAGCCAAAGCTTAGAAAGATGCAGGAATCCTTTCAGGGCAATAAAGAGTAATTCAGAGCTTTCTTGTGGAACTGTGTAAACTAAAACTATAATTTTTAATTTTCAAAAAGAAAACCCTAATTTAAAAATCCTCAGTGTAAATGGTGAAGTGAAATAAAGGATGAATTATGCTTCCATGCATGTCTAAGTTATATATTATCACAAAGAGGGAAAATAGTAATTGATGTTCAGTTACTGAAACAGTAAGAGAGACTCATGCTTTGATTAACTATTAACAACAGGGACCAATAATCTTTTTCTATAAAGGTCCAGAGAACACATGTTTAAGCCACAGAGGGCCATACAGTCTCTGTCGTAAATGCTCCACTCTGCCCCTGAACAAGAAAGGGGCCAGAGAAGGTTTGTAAAGGAATGAGCATGGTTGTGTTCCAATACAACTTTATTTATGAGCACTGAAATTTGAATTTCACATCATTTTCCCCTGCCATAAAAATATCTTCTTACGATTTTTAAAAACTACACTAAAAAGCAAAAATCATTATTAGCTTGTGAGCTGTCCAAATACAGGCAGTACATCAGACTTGGACCATGAGCATTAGTTTACCAACCCCTGTTCACCACGGAGCAAGACCGAGTTCCCAAAACCTTCATTTAATGCCTAGGCTCCTTTCAACTAGGTCCCATATTGCAAGTATTTTCACTATTAACTTCTGTTCAATTTAAAAATATTCTACTGTGAGTTATATGTTGCTTGTTATCTCTTTCACTGAAGGTGAATGCTATAGACTGTGTTCCCCAAAATTCATATGCTGAAACCTAGCCTCCCAGGTGATGATATTAGGAGGTGGGACCTATGGGAGGTGATTAAGTCATGATGGCGAGGCCCTCATGAATGGGGTTAGTGCCCTTATAAAAGAGACCCCAAGAGCTCCCTCTCCCCTTCGGCCATCTGAGGACATAATGAAATGGTGACCTCTGTGAACCAGAAGATGGACCCTCACCAGACACTGAATTTTCTGGTGCCTTGTTCTTGGATTTCCCAGCCTCTAGAAGTATAAAAAATACATTTCTATTGTTTATAAGCCGGCCACTCTATGGTACTTTCTTATAGCAATCTGAACAGACTAAGACAGTAGATTCATGCTTCTCCCTAATTTTGCCTCACCTAGCTCCCTATGAGCTGACACTGTAAACTCCTTAATTCTGCCAAGTCTTGACTGTCCATAGTAGCTCCATTTTGGGCTCAAGTCCTTATGCCCTCCTCCCTAGACTGAGTGAAAAGCAGGGGAAGCTCTCTCAATAAACAATCTTCAACATCTTCAGCACAAATAAATTTGGAGATTGAGGGAAATCTAGGTCATAATTATAATGGCTAATACTTTTAGAGCCCTTGCCATGTGTCTTACACAATAACTCTTTTAATATTCCCAATAACCTGATGGGACTCTTTTATTCCCACTTTACAGTTCAGAAAACTGAGGCTTAATAGTTAACAGAACCATTAGCTAACTTGTCCATCAACAGAGAGCTAGCAGATCTGACACAGGCAGGATTCAACACCAGGTCTGACTCCAGGGTCTGTGCCTGTCGCATCATTATAGTGCCTCTACAAAAAATATATAGGATAGGTAAGACCTCTTGTCCTTTAAGCCGCCATGCCTATTATCACACTCCCCACACTTTTGGGAGATCCTGTCGGGTTCTTGAAACTGCGTTTCAACCGTTCTGGATTCTCCATCTTGTTTTTTCTATTTCTGTTCCCATTTCTATCTTAGCCATGTCCTCTGATTCTGGCCATGTCTCCCCCTACACTATGATTCCCATTTCTCACCTGCCAATGCTTCTTTAAACCACCTTGAGTAAATATCCAGCTAGATATAATTCCATCTGGAATCACTTTGCTGCCCCTGGGTTGGCCTGAGGAACAAAACATTAATTTGGATCCTGTGGTCAGATCTACTACTAAAGTTCTTCAGCGTATCTGAAAGCCTGGCTTCCCAGGAACACCCACTCACTAACAAGGGGCGTTCGTAAACGTACAGCTTTTAGTAAACTTGGCAGCTTTAGCTCCTAACCAAACTCATAAGACATTGGCTACAGAAACTTTGATAAATTCCCCAAACAGCCTAGGAAAAAAATCCAACTGAAAAATAAAGCACCACTTTAAAATATCAGAGTCCAGAAACTCTTATGTTTATATTCCCCACCCCCGCAGTGATCATCTCTTGATTATTAAAGGAACAGCAAGAGTAAACAGCCTGTCTCTGGCTGTGCACATAGGTCAGTGAGCTGTATTCATAAATCAGTCTTTTCCACTTTTTTTGTGTGGGAATTGTAAGTTTCACAATAAATGGAGGTCGAGAGCTATCAGCATCCGTCTTTCTGACGGTGTCGCCATTTCCCTTCCTTTTCTCCCGTCTTTCCCGGGGATAAGGTGCTTTATATACATGCTGTCCACTTCCTTCAGCAGGGTTCTCACCGGCACGTGACTCTCAATTTACTGGGCCCATAAGCTTTCTTTCCGATATGCTATTTGTGGACGAAGAAAAAGGGTTCTACGGAAAGTAAGCTCACAGGGTGATCTCATCCATCATAAATTTCTAACTGGGCTGGGTTGTCATTCCCTAGGCCGATAACTGTTTAGTAAAAGATTTATTTTTGCCTGAAGCAAGCCCTGTCCAGTGTTGCTGCGCCTCTAGGTTAACACACCTTTGAAATAAACGGTTTTTCATATGTCTATCTTAGGCTTTTCTGAACACTATGCCACATTTACAGTGGAAAATAAAATTTCCTTATAGGAATAGAGAGAAGAAAAAAAAAGGTGCTACCTGAGTGGTAGCTGGGAGTAGTTAGTTATACATATCTGTTTGCCAACTTTTAACTTTGATTAGAAGGCTGAATAGGGGCAATGCTGTACTTATTTTGAAAATGTACCTGTTGAAATCAGTCCAAGTGCGAGGCCTCGGCGGCTGTCAAAATACTGGCACGTAATGGTCACTGTTGCAGTGTACAATAAGCCACATCCGAGACCTAAACAGAAGAAGACATTGCATAGATTAATTACATATATTACTTCAATGCAAAAAAATGGGGGCGGGGGGATAATTCCAATAGGGCATTCTGTCACCAAGTGGCTGAAACTCTTCCAAATATGAATTCCTAGATGCATTCAATGCTAGTCGTGCAGCTCCAATGGACACATTTATGTAGGCTGTTTCCACTCTGCACACCCAGAGGTCAGGGACAAGTTGAAAAAAATATTCCAATTTATACAGCATAAATGAATAATGCAAGTTTAAATTAAGATATTGTAGGGAGAGAAAATGGTTAAATCACATACCAAATAGCAAAGTGTAATCAAATGTGCCCATTTAATATCTCTGTCTCGCTTCCCAAGTTCTTGTCCTTCGCTCGCTGTTCTTTCTCCTCTAAGTCCTCTAAACAATTTTATAAAATCCCTTTCATCATCCCAACCTATTTTGCAAGAGCTTATAGCTTGCACACCTCAGTTTGCAAAACAAAGACCCTCGGGCATGTCCCTAGTTGTCATCAGATTAACACATCACAGTAAAATGTATACTTGTAAGTTTTTTTCTTTTAGAGCTGAAAATTATTATAAACAAAAAAGGGATTATGTCATAAATCTGACAAACACAGTAACTGAAAATAACCTCCCAAGGTGAGCTGATCATAAATTTCTTTTTAGGCAGGTCATGGTAAGTAGTTAAGCACCAGGCCTATAACTTTCTTAGTAAAAGGTTTATCTTTGCCTGAAGCTTTGTCCATCCTACTTGTGCATTTAGGTTAACACATCTTTGAAATGCCAGAGCAATTCTCTTTTCCAGACCCCTCAATGGTATAGCCACCCTCAAGGTAGCACACGATCTTGTTGCCTGAACACCATCTACTTACTGTAACTGTTAAAATGTTAACTATCCTCTACCCACCAATGTAAAGGGAGTATATATCCCTCCATTTTTTATCCAACCTGGGAGATTTTTCGAACTTGCTTTCTCCCATCTCCTTTACCTACCACCAATAGATTTTATGTAATCGCCTTAAATTCCCTCCTTTGATTCCAAATACATAAAAAGAACTGCAAAACTGTCATTCTTGGGAGCATTTTCTCAATCTCTTGAGATCTTACTTCTAGGCATGTTCTCCATTTGGCTCAGATAAACTCTTCCATCACTTTGGACATTCTCATAACA